GCATACCTAATGCACGGATACAGTGGTCACGGAATCTATACGGCTACATCGAAAGGCAAGTCTCATTCACAATGTCAGCATTGCTTCCATTTTTAGTTTTCGAAAGTTTTCAAACGAGTTACTGTTACAGAAATCTATAAATTTATACCAACTAACTTCGTAGAAATCAGGAAGCCAAAAGCAAAAATGTACGATGCTGGATTTGTGTTCGCTGCACGAACAAGAGACACCATAGAGAAAATTGTTAAGTGGTAAGTCGTCTCACTAAAAAAGATCTCAAGGAAAAAGAAAGAAAAGAAGAAAGAAAATTCAACTCTCAACGAACATTGGGACTACTGATATAATATAGCATGAAAACGTAGACTGGCAAGCGACATTCGACGACCCTTAGTAACTGGCAAATTTCTCAATATAACTTCAATCTTCTTTTTCTATGACGTTATTTAACCACACTTTTAATGGAACGCTATCAAGAAGTCTTTTTTACGATTGTTCACAATAAGTTTATATTAGGTACGTTCTCTGCGCTTTGGAAGAGGACTGCATGGCTGGGAATCATAGAGAGTGGACCTTCTGTCGATTTCTAGGCGATCGTTTCTCAGAGCCACCAAAGTGTCACAGGTGGTGATTTTCCACTGAACGATTATAAGTGCTAAAAAAGCCTAAAGTATATGTTTAGAATGTTTCGACTCGTTAAGATTTATGTTCTTAACGGCTTTCCCTTTAGCAGCATCTTTACCACCCGATACGGTAATGTGGTGACACAATAAGATGTCGCTACCATAAATGTTCATTTGTTTCAGCACAACAAAGTAGAGTACCTGAGCCAGTTTTCTGCGACATTAATTGCTAAAAAATAAGAACCTGCCTTTAAAGTTATTTTCATAAAGGTAGAAGATCGAATGGATCCAATTCCAGAGGTGCTAGGGAAACAAAAACTGGCAAATGCCATCACCATCGAATTTCCACGACATTGGAATTCGTTGGCAAAACACCACTTTGCTAAGAAAAAAAACTCAACCTTTAGAAGGACGAACTATAGGTAGAGCAAGTTAGTAGCGAAACGACAAGAACCATCTCTCCCCTTTTCAATGAGCACAAGGAATTGGATTCGCACACTACAACAAATGGGAGAACCTATATTGACTTTTAAACGAAGAGTTGCCTCTTCAGTGTTAAAAAATCCATCAACGCTCAGCTGATTCGCCATCTCGACGCTTCTTTCCAAAACACAGAGAGAATGTTTGATAACGACTGTTCCTCAGTCGTAATCGTACCTTAATGCGAAGTTGCTAGCACAGAAAAACAAAAACATAGAATCATTTCCACGATAGTCTATTAACTAATGAACATAGCCATACCTAATGCATAATCTCTTATGAAAAATTGTCAGCAGTTACAGATTCGATCAATCAGTTGTCAATCTTCTGGCTGCAAACGCTTTCTACTATGACAGACATTACTACGTCAGCGAAATTGTAGACTTCTTCAACATTGAGCGGCAGCAATGAAACTCTTGCATTGGGCATTTTGAATCCTCTCATCTCCTATCAAAAGTCATGACCAGATATGAAACATATGAGGACTTTAGTAATCTTCAAGGTGTTCGTCCGTTGGAAAAACATCGTTCCATTTTTGTTAGTCCACGATAATATTTCCATTGAACAAATAAGTACTCTGTTCTGCTTAATCAACCACCTCCAATGTGAATTCGCGTTCAATCATTGCTTACTTCAAGCGATAGGTAAAAACGATTTAGTAGACGTAAAATGAAAGAAATTGTCACATTGACGAATTTAGAATGCATAAATACTTCTATGTTTTCTTGTTTTTCATGTTTTATAAAAGGCTGTTTCACTTCCTGATGAGAACAAACTTGGAAAGTAATAACTTTGTCGAGTAAGACACAGAGAAGTTCCAAACTTCTTACTATTAACAAATCCATCAAAAGTCACTCAGGAAATGTTCATGAACTCCAGAAAATTTACGGCTTGAAATAGAAAGCAGTATAAACAAGCGAATAAAAGTGAGACAATTACACACCGGAATTACAGTTGGTGATAGCAAACTAACTACTAGACTGAGAAGCAAAGAACACGTACATACCTAAGTGGCAAAAGAATAAAAAGCCATTCAAAAAACGCACACTCTATCCACCACGAAGGGCTAGCACCAAATGTAAGACAGATCCACCAGCAACCTATAACAGTTCTTATGCAGAAGGAAACATTCTTGTCATTTCACTCCTCTGACCTCTCAACCTACGATTATACTCCGAACAAAATGAATTAAATGTTTTAACTTATTTTTTACTACCTACTATTATTTTTCACGGTAGGGTATAATGTGAAATACAAGCACTATGACGCTAAGATATTTGCAAACTTGGGCCACATGCCTGATCGAACCCGAGACACTTTCCGGGTTCACGTGTTACTCACTTCACCTCTGAGGTTCATGCTTTGCCTTTCTCTCGGCCAGTTCTCTAAGAATGAAATGTTTGGAAAGAAACCGGTTAGAAACTTCGTCAACCTTATTGTGACGTCCCAGAGATCCTTCTACGACGGAACTCGTAATAGAGCAAAGTAGCGTGATAACCCCAAGTGACGAAAGCGGGTTTAATATGGATGGACCAGAGCCGACAATATAGTGACAAAATACTTGCCCTAAGAAAAAGGGTGGTTCGAGAAATAGATTTTATGAATTCGCCAGGTGAGATAGATTAACACTTAGAATCCAAAACTGGATTTTCGCAAACTGCTGATAAATTTTCGTTAGCTACTCGAAGAATTGAAAACGTGATGGGTTTATAAAAGAGACTTCCGTTTATTCACTTAGCAGTAACCATGGTTCTTTACAACTATTATTCAAAGTTGTTTGGGACCAAATTTTCTACAACGGATGGAAACGGAGCCTAAATTTTTAAAATTCCGAACGTAGATTCAGCAACTATAAACGTCAGGAACGCATTTGGAGACATCTTTCAGTTCTAACACGCAAAATACAGATCGTTTAATTGCTTTCATTTCCGAAAACGAGCTTCGACGAAAAAAGTTGGAAGCGATCGTTATTTTCGTACCGTATGAATGGAAATCAATTCGCATCCCAAGTGTAAATATACAGCTTTTACATACACGTGATCAGATTTACTCAACTGTACATGAATATGTATGCGGATTACATCCTACGCATTGATACCACCTAAAGATTGCTTTCAAATCAAAAGACTAAAGCTCTCCACAACCAATGGAAAATGAAAAGTAAGACCGATGTAGACGTCTCCAAGGTGGATAAAATTAAAAGACATCGTCTCCTCTACACCAACCATAGTGCCATTTCGATGGTCAGTTCCACTTATCCTTCTGCAACTACAGTTAAGACATCTGGTCCAAGCAGTTCTTAGGCTGGATATTCTATCACATTGGTAAAAACTCTTGTAGGACTAATCTTGAAAATACAGAAAGTATACCACCACTCCTCGTTTACACGTTAGACTTTTTATCGTTGCTTGCTAGAATATAATAGACATAGTCAATTTTAATCCAGCAGGACCACATTGCTGCACACTAAAGAGAAACTGTGAGCGAAATCAGCAACTTTCGACAATTTGTTGTCCATCGATAACAAATTCTTCACTTGAGTCCTACTTAAGTGGATTAGAACCATCTTAAATCCATGGATAACACTTCCCTCATGACATAAAGCACAACCTCGTCGGAACATGTGTTGAACTATTGTCACGGTAAGTGTGGTTTTATGGCTAAATCTGTAGACGATATCTAAGAGAAACAGACGATGCGGCTCTATTACTCCATACAATGAAAGGTGGACTGCATGCAGACAGAATAAATGAGCAGTCATTATTTTTCAACAAGCGGTCAGGAAAACCATGCTAGTAATACCTTATTCAACGGATCAAGATGTTGTTCCAAATGCCAAGATATCGAAAATCAGGTCAGCTGGATGAATGATGCGCAGCACCACAGACCATTGCTGGGAAAGAAGACACAGCGAACTGGTTTCACACTATGTCAAGCGTAAACCATTCCGAACACTGATCCATTGGTCGAAAATGTTTACGATGACCTTGAACAAAAGTACTGTGATCGCTGCGCCACTCAACTGAGCACAACCAGTTGACCAACTCTGGTACATGAAATAGAACATTGGAGATGTCAATGAAGTTCTCAGGAAACACCCGATCATCATTGGAAGATATGGATACAAATGCTTGAGACGCGATATATTAGATGGTAATATTAAGAATGGCTAACTTGGTATTAGAATGACAATGGGACCAGTAAACACTTTGTCCGCGAATGGGTCTTTCATTGCAGAACAGATAACTCAACCGAGTCTAAAAAATCTGAGAGTGAAAATGTCCACCTTTTTTCACTTCTTTTTGATTCAGTTTGTTGTGTGTGTGTTTGTGTGTGTGTACGTAGTCTTGATAGCCAATGTATTCAAGAAAAAAGTATTAGAAATCCGTAAGAAAGGCTGTAAAAAAGAATTCCACAACACAAACTTTGTAGTCCGTGGCAGTTTTGTCATCGTTCATCTGTTTTCCAGCGAAAATTAATCGTTGTTGAGGTGGTGGAATACCTTCCTTTTCTTCTACCTGAAATAGTTTGCTTTTTAAATGATAAAGGTCTCGGCGTTAATCAATCCCTGAGGGATGCGCCATGCATTCGACTTCACTAAGTATCGTTAGAGGTGATTGAATGCATATCTGGCCTTTACAATGACTCGCGGTGGCCTACCGATGTAACGAGCTAGTGATCCTATCCTCTTAGATAAGTCTGGTACCAATTTGCCGAACCCGGAAGGATGGAAGGCTTGGTGGGCCATGGGAGCGGGAGTCGACTCCACGCGTGTGTCGCAGTGGCGCCTCCAACCACTGCGCCACACGGGCCCTTATTTAAATCCTATGGCAATGAAAATGGTTAGACCTTCTAGAACATTTCCAAAAAGAGCAAAAAGACTGAAATCTCGAAAACCACCTTCTCTTTGATACGTTCCACCTTATCATTTGGTTCAATGTCCAGTTCAATTTCTTTTCCAGTTAGAGTTTTCACTTTGATGAGCATATCTGGAACCAAAGATTTACAGTAGGCATAAATACATCGACAGTGAGTGACATATGCCTTACGATGACTATGTAGAAGAAGAAAATGTTAACAGAAAAAACAGATATCCATAGGGAAACGTAGGTCCTATGACGAGCAAAGACGACTAGAAATACAGTTTTGTTATGGATGCTTCCACTAACTGAAATATACTAAGGACTATCGCAGTTATCGGACTGAAAACGGAAAAGAAGAAGAACTGATGGATGACTACTTAGTTACTGACTTGACATAACGACTTAAGCTATAAGGTTAAAATCCTCTTACAACACTGATGTTTCATCAAACTGGTAGGATTTATAAGCTTAGTTAAGCCGAGTAAAACAAGTAGTCCGCCTAACAAAATTCTGTGGGAAAATCGAGTAATAAAGCTAAAAGCCTGTACCTTCCTGGAGTAACATTAAGCTAACACGACGTTGATGAAAACGCTTATCCAGCGAACGTTTCAACGCCTCCGCCTTCCTCATAGCCGACGATTTTTTATCAAGCTCGTGTTAGCTTAATAATCAAGGAAGGTAAAAGGATAAAAAGGAAGGGATCCAGGAAGGTATCGATTACTAAATGACGCTCCGTTTGAAAAACTAAAAAGAGTCTGAATTTCTATTTTGAAGTTTTGAAGAAAGAAATTTTGAAGAAAAAAAAAAAAAGAACGTTCGCCAAAAGAAATACCCTACATCCTACAGTACTATAGTACTGCAAGCAGCACTATAGAAGCGGCTCCATGTGATGAAGCACATCTGACTACTTGACACTACTTTCGAAAAATAGCTATAACTTTAAGGTTGCGTCGCGTTTCGAATATATAAAAACTCTTATGAACCTGAACGGATATAAAGGCAACACCCAAAGAGATAAACAACTATGTCGACCTTTTATTTATTGCCTACTACTATTTTCCACGGTAGAGTATGATGTGATCTACAACCACAATGATGCTGAGACATTTGGGAAACTTAGACCCTAGGGCCAAACCGAACCAGGACTACCCTTCCCGTGTGATTGCTGATGGCATTGCTAGGTAAAAAATGGCTGAGAGAAAGGCATAAAAACCATGTTTAAGACATGCTACCTTTATTTTAAATATGCTAAAGTACGTAAATACGAGCACTTCAACAACGTCAATGTTTGAAAGAAGGCATCACCAAGGATCTTACACATTTGTCGTAAAATGTAATGTGTGGTTGGACGTAATTGCGTATGCAGAAGATTTCAGCATTTGACAGCACTAGTTCATGGCGCTAATTCGTCCCATGGGGTATTGATTAACATCAAGTTAATGGATATCTGTGAGGAACACCCCGTAAATTCTGGGCAAATGGACCTGGGCCTACCAGAAATCAATCTGAATCTAGTAGTCGATAATCTAAAACGTCCCGAAAAGTAATCAATAACCGAATGCAGTCTGGAGAAAGAAATCATGAGAATCTCGTCTGCCAAAGAGTATCTGCGACCACAGATATTACTGATTTGTTGTCGCAGCTTGTAAGCCAACAACCCTCTTGTTTCTTAGATTAATGTCAATTTCGTATATCAACCATAAGGCCCTAGCTTTCATGATAGCTGACGACAATGGATAGTTTTCTTAGCATTTCTACATCCAATCTGTTAATATTTGAACTGATATCGATCAGTGATTGTATAACGCGCTCGTATGAATGAAGAATCTTGCGAATCACATTAGCCTTTCCATCTGACTTGTTTGTCGCTGGTTTAGCACAATTTTATCCGTGGAATCTCGAAGATCCAATGCTAGGCCGTTCGCAGGTCGTTATCGCACATTAGCAGATGTAGATCGGCGGCGTATACTGAGCCTTCATGTGATAACTTTTGTCCAGAACGGTGACGAATCCTGACCTCAGTCCACTCGTAGCTAGGCTTCCTAATGTCAATGTCGAACGTCTGCACAGCTTAGGGAGTCCTTAAGGTATGAACCCCACCCATAGGCATTGCTCTGCGCTCAGCGTTACGGAGGTGGTGATGAGTTAGCGGATGAATGGGGTTACATGGGGACTGAATATGTTGGTATCTCCCACAATTGCGAAGCAATCACTCATTGTTTCAAGTCTTTTGTAAGTCGAGAAGTGGGAGAAGGGGATTTCGGGGTTGCTGATGATCAATGAAAGGTCACTAACAATGGCTCCTAGCGGAGCGGCGTCATATTCGGGGGCTGATCGAGGCTTCCATTTGCAAAAGTACCCCTTTTACTAGTTCAAAAAGTACGGATAATAAAAATATACCAGTATATATATGACGGTTAGGTACATAAATACTTGTGTGGCCCGTCTTCACCAGCTTTGCGGGCTCCAGCATAATTTCCATTTTGTCGGGGTTTTGCTGGTTTAGCGTTGTGGTTACCGGAGTACCGAGATCAGCCAGCCCAAAGTTTCCACAGGTCGTCACCACCATTGGTGGTCGCCGTCCTCGTGGATCAGAGGGAGATTTGCCACGATGCGACGAGTTTCATACCAGGACGGTGGTCGATCCTGGTATTGGCTTTCTCTTAACTGGGCTTCCTGATGGAAACGCCGGACTCCTCGGATTGGGAGACCCTGCCGGTGATGAATCCATTCTTATGCATCGCAGCCCGACACCCAGGAACACCTTCCAGCCACGGTGAAACGGTAAACCGTTGGGAGGAAGGCTGAGTGGTAGTACTGATTTATGAGTTGTCGTCCTAGCGACCATTTCGTGCATGTTCGTCGGTATTGATTTGAAGCTGAGGTTGAAGAGAATATCTTTAAACTAAGACAGTGCGGTTATCATTGTGTTATAATGATAGCCCTCTTGTTTTATATGTGTAAACGTACGTATATAAGTATACACATCTGAAATCATGACCTCTATTATAGGAATCATTTCACATGGGAAGCAGTGGCCGGCATGACCTCTACAGAGGTCATTCATAATTTATTTTAGCGTGTAGGATTGTTTTTCTATACTTCTTGTAATCAATCGATAGCTTATCCAGCACCAATACGTCGTAATACAAATTCCTGCGTTAAAAGCGTCCGAACTAAGAGAAGTGATGGATTTTCTTCCAATGTTTAAGTAATTGGCCAACTCGAGGTGACATCAGGAGATCAAATAGCAAACCAACTAATACCACTTTCGCCTTTACTATTTCGTTCATGTCAACAAGTAAATGCAAACAAAGACCATCTGGTCTTGACTGATCCGGTTCATCGGGAGTCAGTTGTGGAACAGACCGAGGTCGGGGTGGCCGGGAACCATCTGCCTAGTTCGGGTCGGCTGCTTGACCAGTGGTTATCGACATTCGACCGTCTTCGACCCGGAAAACATCTTCTCTTGGAGTTTTCGGACTTTTTTTTTACCAGAAAGCCATATATTCTATCCGAGCACAAGCATTTTCTCCTAACGCATCCTCGTTTCTCAAAATTTCTCTTCGAAAACGTTTTTTTTTTGCTATTTTCTTTTCGCACTGTACTTGCATTTTTCTATGAATGTAGTGAAAATTTGCCGCAGTATTTTTACCCGTATAACTTTTGGAATACTTTGTCGTAAAATTAGTTCCTCCTCTTCTTTTTTCAAATTTCATGAATAATCGCTTACAATTGAATATTATCGTGTTTCTTTTCCTGTTGAGGTCATTCTTCCTTTTCAGGTGAAGTTTGCTCTAGTAAAAAGTTCAAGTGTTATTTTTTAGGTCTTACATACTGCTCATCTCGTCGTTTTAATGCTTTGTATTGTATATAATTTCTTACTCACTCGTTAGGAATGATTGATTCTGAGGTTGGTTTCCAGTTTTTTGGTCGATTTTCATCGAACACCTAAATACAAGTGCTTAATATTTTGGATAGTCATGCTTCAGCACTACAGCTGTGTGTATTCAGTACTTTTGCCTTCCAGGTCGTTCTAAAAGCGGAAGATATAGCGCACGTGCTTCGTGACGGTGTTGCGCTGCTACCGGGATCTCGTGATCGTACAGGTCGTGCGGTCATATTTTTTCCACCTAAAGAACAACAACTAAGTCCGGATAATATTAGGAATGTTCTTCGATATCTACACACTGTAACATCGTAAGCTCTTACAGCTACCATGATTTTTCTATGACTTTTCTCACTATCAGTGGTCGTTCCGTCCAGTACTTTGTTAGAACACGAATCAATCTAATGGAATGTCTTTGTACAGTCTGTTTTTCTTTTAGTGATGAAACTAGGGACCATGGATTCACTGTGATCATAGATATGCGTGGCAAACATGCGTATAATAATGTTAGGCCAATTTTAAAAGCGATTAATGTGAGTAGGTTATTTTTATCCTTTTTGCCTTGTCTCAGACTTCAATCCTGTTCTGTTCAGCACCTTTGCGAGACGACGACTGGGCTTAATATAATGGTTTTAATTATCAAACCGGATACTTTCTGGGAAAAGCAGAAAGCGAATTTGTTACTAGGTTCCTGGAGTTTTGAGGTTTGTGAGATTCCTCTACTTAAATTGTGCTTATATAAATCTCATGTAGTAAATTTTTAGGTAAATCTTTATCTAGTAAATCTGTGGTAATTGTCTTATGATTGTTTTATGTTTAGGTTCACATGATTTCAATTGATGCTGTATCGAAATTCGTAGATCCGAATCAACTAGTACGTGAGCTTGGTGGCTCGTTTCCATATGATCATGATGACTGGCTGGATACGAGATTGGTACGCGATTTTTTATTGTTATATTTCTACTTCGAGTTGAAATCATAACGATCAAAGATGTGCCTTATGTTTTTTCTTCTTTTAGGAGTTAGAAAGATGGATATGGCAAGTTTCGGATGTCATGCGAAATCTGGAATGTCAGCGTAGGTTGATGACGGAAGCTCAGTCTCCAGTGGACGTCACCACAGCAGAAGCTGCCCTTTCTCAACATTCTCTAATCAAAAAAACAATTTTCGCCATCCCGATTGACCGTTTACAAAGTGAATCTGAAAGAGTGAGTATCTTTTCTTACTCATTATCTGCAAATGTTGTTACTTTCTATGGTTCTATATTCATTCTGTAGATAAGTGAAAGGATAAATCGGGCCCAGTGTGGAATTTCGAACCCAGATCTTGTGTCTTCGATTCCACATATGGCGAATCTCCTCACATCATTGCGTAATTTAAAGTTCGTCCCTTTTCGCCGTTGTTGTTGATTTCTTAGGGAAGCTTTGTTGTGTCTTCAGTGTTTGATTTCAATGTGTATTTTGTGCAGAAATGACGTTTTCAAACAGTGGGAAGGTCGTAGAGTCGAACTGGAGGCGTGCTATCAGATGAAACTATTTGAACACGATGCTGAAAACGTATAATTTCTTGTGTTTCTGTCCGAATATTTTTACGAAAAATTAAACCGTTGCGTTTTAGATGATTGATTGGACTCGAAAACACAATGAGACTTTATCCCGACGGATCGGCGACATCGGTGTGTCTGAAGCGGAAGCATCCGAAATGCTTCGAGAATTCGAGGAATTTTCAATAACCGCCAACGTAAGTGTTCTAGCTAATGGCTAAGTGATGTATTCGAGCAGCTATGAGTGTTCCATATCTGTTAATGTAGGGACCAAAAGTATAACCTCTTCAAGGAGTTGATTACTTTTTTTGAATTTATAGTTCATTTACACGACCGACTTTCTGTTAACCTCGGTATTGATCAAATAATTCTTTATATTCTTGTTGAGCCAACGCGAAGTGTTATTTTATTCTTTATTACGATAAAACTGATGCTTCGGCCGATTTCGCCTTCGTCAGAGCGTGGAAAGGACGAAACGTCAGCTTGTTCGTGAGTAAAGAGTAAAATGTCTCATTGCTTGTTCTTTGTTTTATGGGGTTTTGGATTTTTAAGTTTTTAATCCATTTCAACTTCATCGATCTTTTTTTCCAACAGAATGCCGAGGTTAATATTGCTCAAGTAACGAATATTGCCATTCGTTTACGGTCTGTTGGTGGTCAGTCAACTCGGAACAAGGTTTGCCTTTATCTTTATTATTCTTTCTGGGTAAAGTACTGCCTATTTTTCGTTTTTGGCTTTATTTTCACAATGTTAACTTTCTATTTGCTGTCCACATAGTCCCTGCAATGAAAAAATGTAGGCAGCAAATAAAAAGTTAGCATTGTGATTTTGACGGCAGCCTCAGCTTATCTGGGTTCAATGCTGATGTTGACTCCCTAGATCAATCCCATTGGTGGGTAATTCCTGGTGCTACTGGTAGATAGAACACTAGCTGAGAGACAGGCAAAGCGAAGGACCCCCATGGTGTAGTGGTGAACGTGTTAACCCCCGGAAAGTGTAATAACGTGTTCGATCCCCACCGTTGACACCTGCGGTCCGGAGTTCTGCAAATATCTCAGCATCATAATGGTTGCATATGTCACCTATTTATTCTCTCTTAGTTGGAAAGGATGAAGTTGCGTATGGACGAGGAATGGTCACGGTTTAAAGAACAGATGGTGAAAAGGAAACTCATATTAAACTCAGCAGTTGCGTTTTTCACTGCAACAAAAGTGGTATGATTATTTTCATAATAAAGGGAAGTACAATGTCACCCACATGATTTTCACGACTTTTATATTCAGTATTTCACAAAATTGCCATCGTGGGTTGAAAATCCTGGTGTCGATCCTAACAATATGAGCGGAAATACAGCAGAAGTTCTGGAAGAAGCCATTCAACAACACGAGAAATTTTGGACAGCTGTAGAAGAACTATATGCAGAAGTGAGTTAAACTGAGAATGATAGGTAAATATCGTTTTTGTGGCAGAAAAATTGAATGTTCTATTGGACTCCGATTTTTTATTCATGGTCAATTATGACGTCCGTGAATTGGTTTAGGCGTTTGCGCAAGGTTCTCAGTTAATACAACTGCTGAAATCGGTCGATATAGATGACCCCTCCTCAAAGGAGCTGCTGGGAAAGCTTACTAGAGCTCAGAAGCACCTTCTATCCCTGTGGAAAGAGAGAAGGGTAATGGGACTACAATTTTTTATCCGTTCTTTCTGTTTCGCATTTTGCCTTTTATTTTCGAGTGTTTCATCTTCTGGATGTATTCTAAGAAAAGTAGGTAGTTTTATGTGTGGCCGAGAGGTAGACTTCTTAGGAAGAACTAAGGAGCAAGGGAGAGTCTTTACTAAACAGTGGCACATCATTCCATATTATTGCTAACGCGATTATTTTTTTGTACATGTTGAAGGTGCTGCGAAGGTTTTGAATTACTTCATGTTTCTTTGGCTATCACTGCTCATATTTCTGGCAGTTCTTTTGTTTCAAAGAGGTGTCTGGAACTGTCCATAACTGACAGTTATGTCTATTTCGGCATTCCCAATTCATTAAGACAATATCAATTTCTCTCTGTGCTTAAGGTTCGTCTACATTCAATGCTAGCTCTGATTGCTTTTCGAACCGATACGCAACTTGTTGTAGAATGGCTTGAACAACATGGTGATCCATATTTAACAAAAAACACAAGTATAGGTGAGTTTACATTTTTGCTTTTGATGAGGTAACATAACATTGATATTTGGTCCTTTTCTTGCTGTTGTAGGTGAAACTGTTGAACAAGCTCGAACATTGCAAAGGAATCACAGTCACTTTCGTCAAATAGCTAGAAACACATATTCAAATGCTAACAAACTCTTTGAAGCCAGTAAAGCAATCTTGGAATCGGGTGAGGGACTCGTTATTATTTTTCAAGTGGTATTTTTCTTTGCACCCTATGCTCTTTTATTGTAGGGGTTTGTGATGCCGAGAAAATGCGGGCAATGATTGGCGATTTAGACCAAAGGGTTCAGCAATTTACGCATCGTGTAGAAGTAAGGTGCGATGCAAGGGTTGTGTTAAAATGTTTGGGATATTTTTTTATCATGGCGGATTATTTGTTCTAGGTTCAACCTCCTTAATCAATCGGTTCTTTTCCATACACATTACCACGAAATAATGGCTTGGTACGAAGAAATGGAGAAGAAGTATGCAGAAAGGATGGTTGACGTCGAGGTGGATGCATGTGAGCGAAGCAAAGAGCAGTGGCTCTATGAGAGTGACGGAACTGCCCAAGTATTTTTTTCTACCTTTCAACTGTTTTCAGTGACTTTTAAGGTGTTTGTTCATGTTCAGGAGGTTTCGAAAGCGATTTTAAAATGGAGAAGACATTACTGTAAATAGACAGATGACTTGTGTTTAGGCATATGCCACAACCATTGGAGAAGGTACTCAATTAGTGCATGAACTGGAAGTCCATTCGCAACACACTGGAATTGATTACACAAGCAATATATCTTGTATTAATCGTTTGATTCGAAACATAGGTATCGGTTGTTCAGCGTTTATCGGAACCTCTTATCTATTAAGCTCCTACTTTCCAGAATGTAGCCCTTTTGGATTTATTTAATTTAGAAGCCCGTAATAGCAAGCTGTCAAGCATATGGAATCCTCAACGTGTTTTGTTGCAAATTGGACTACGTTTTGCCATATTTATTCGGGATAACTGCGAAGTTCTTTCTCAGATTCGCGTATGTGCTGGTCTCTTTTAATGAATAACATATTGTAATCGTGGAAATTGTCTCAGAAATATTTAGAGTTGGGAGGAGGATATGAGAGGAATGTTGGAGTCATCAACTTTTGCTGGGAACGCAGAAAAAGTTCTGCCATTCCACCAGGATAATACAGCTCAAGTGAAAATGGCGGTGAAAAATATTCGGAAATGTGCTCAGGAAGTCTTACAGGTATACGGCTCTTTTTCTTACACTGTAAAATACAAGAATAATACTTTTTCTATTAAGTCTATTCACGGTAATGGTTTCTCTGATTTACGAACGAGGCAAGGAAAGAGCGTCACCGATTTGATAAGAGAGAACTTAAAAGTTCTTGAAGCAGCTGAACACCAGGTTATGCAGGTTCGGTTGCATTTCTTATGTTTTGTCGCACTGAAGATGCCATTAATATTAATTTCAGTATTAGTTTGTAAAGGATCATTTTCAGTATGCGGCAGAAACATCTTACCGTATAGAAGGATCTAGGAAGTTAGGAAAGGTATCCACTTTGCCTGCTTGGTACTTTTGTCTTGTTACTACTTATTAGCTATTCAGTCGAAATTTAGATTCGCAGCGTTGTTCGGGAAATAGTAGCTGTTTTCGATCGTGAAGAGAAAGCTTTGCAAGCAATGAGCACAGTTCCAGTCGATTTAGAGCAGGCTTTGAGAGCTCAGGAAGCACATGAGCTGTTTATTAGAAGAATTGAGGTCGTCTTTATAACTGGTGATGTGCTTGAGTTCTCTCTACTTCGTTTTCAAATTTGTAGTTTTAGCTAAATAACATGGACTCGGTGCGAGTTTTCTATGAGCTTTCCAATGAGCTCATTCGAGAGGGGTCTACGGATAGGGCGGCAGTTGTTGAGTTGAATGAAATGGTCACTGGTCGGTGGAGAAGGTTAAGTGGGCTTGCAGAAGAGCGCAATAAATTGTTGAAGGTTCAAATATGCAGATGTTTTTCGGAGTTGGTTTTTCACCGTTTAATTGCGTTTGTTTCTAAATTTACTGATTTAGGCTGCTATTGTATGTTATAAGACATACCTCACCGGAGTATATCCAATACTTGATCAGTTGGAGAAGGATTACAGTCAGGTGAAAGGACCTTCATTATCGTGTCTTAGTGGCAGCAATTGTGTTCTGTAACCGTCCAAAGTCGTTTTTTGGTTTGTATCCAGGAAGTAGTTTAGAACCCAGATCGTGACTGGTGTGCCGTTCGAGTTGGTGAAACCCCTCAAGAAAGGGTTAATGTCATATCTGAGCTTCTCAGCAGACATATGGACTACAAGGACCGATTTTTAAAAGGATGTATTTATGCTCAAAAAACAAGTGAATTATTTCTGAAATATATCGAAAGAACAAGCACAGGCACTGGAGTGCACAATCGGTCAGTCATCGCATTTCAACCTTGGAGGAGAAACTTAAGAGTTTTCATTATTCCAGTAGATTGATTAATTATTTATTTATCATTGATTCGAATTTCGTTAATTTGTGATGAAGTACCTGGTTATTGACAACTATTCTCCTGAATCTGTTCTGTTTTAGTCTCGACAGTGAAAGAATCATTCGTATGAAGTCTGACCTGCGTGAGCGACAGTCGAAAATTTTAGAGTTATGGACTAAAAAGAAGAAGCAGTTGGACAGGTAGTTTTCAACAGTTCTATTACTGAATATTATGTGTATATCTGAATATACATGTGTATATACGCTTGTGCATATATATTAAGATGTCAGCAGTTTGTTTTGATGGATGCGACTCGCCACGTTTTGGTAGACTGGCTTTGTGGGGAGGGTGAACGACGTTTAGCAGAATTTCAAAGGAAAGGTGTAGCTGATGCAGCCACCCTGGAAGACTTCCATACTTTCAAGCTTTCTGTGAAGGTATAGTGGCCAGTCGGTTCTTTTTGCATCAAAGAGGATTGGAAATACAATTCAGGAGGAGCGTGCTAAGATTCAAACACTGTTATGCATGGCAGGCCCGATTCGAGACGAAGCGAAACAACATGCAGCTGACATCGCAGATTGTATGGATGATGTTGGTTATAATAATTACTTTAACCTTCCTTATCAATAGCATTTCAAATAAAATATGTAGGTGCGTGTGCGCTTCGAGAAATTTTCAAAGCGTGTGGCTGAATGTGAAGCAGTACTTCGCGGAGGGAAACCGATAGCTGTATGTCCATTTCATTACTTCTCTCAGAACTTCTTGTGACGTTAAAAATTAATGAAAAACCAAGCATTATTAGTATCTTAGAGTTTTTTTCTCATGGAGTCCGGCTAATTATATAGGGAACCTTCAAGTGTAAATTTTTTGTTTGAAACCAGCCATGACTTAGGCAACATTTTTTAGAAAGATGATCTTTCACTTGATCGTTTATCGGATCCGAACGTGGAGGAAAATATGAATATCATGAAACACGAGCGAAACAGTAAAATGAGGTATACTTCTTTGTCTAATATAAACGCCAACACTCTAGAGACTATTTCCCCGATCATTTATACATTTTGTTTTTTGTTTTTTCTCCGTGGAATTATGAAATTATTTGAGGTATTCTCTTCAAATCACTATTGATTCTCACCTACTTGAAATCGAACCATAAATGCTTTCTATCTAGACCAGCAAACATGTCTTAACAAGTTATTTTTGGTTTGAATCACGAACATGTAGAGGATATATGTATTCGCTCATTTCCTGTTAACATGTTAGAGAGCACGGTTGCGCTACTATTCAGTTTATATTGAAACTCCAGAGAACCGATGCACGAACTAATAAAAACAGAAAAGGACTACATAGAGGATCTGCGAAGATGCATAGAGGTAGGTAGATTTTTGGAAGAGAAAGATGAAAAACTATTAAGAGAAAGGCAAAACGAAGGACCGCAGCGGTGATGAACGCGTTAACACCCGGAAAGAGTAAAACGCGTTCGTTCCCCACCGGAGACACCTGCGGTCCTGAGTTTTGCAAATATCTCAGCACCATTGTGGTTGTAGCACACATGGTACTCTGTCGTAAGGAATTGTTGTAGGTAAGAAATAAAAAGGTAACGTTGTAATCTTTAGAATAGTCTATAAAATTATAAAGAGAATATTGCAAAAGGGAGCTTCATGGAGAAATAGCTTCATTACTCTTTTTTAACCTATTAGATTTTTTGTTGGTTTCGATTAGAAATCATGGCTTTCTTATTAACTTTATTACTTAAGTGGTCCCTTTTCGCGAGCTGCTAACAATTGTCAGGTGTCCAGCATAAATTCCATTTGAATGGTTATTCGTGTCCACCACTGTACATCATGGTTTGATATTCGTGAGCACCCTTATTCATGAAATAGCAGTAAACTACTAGTGGAGAGGCTGGGAAAACGATAGTGGTCTTGGCTCCATAAAATAATTCTTCATCTTTGATCTAGAAGTTATGAATAATTTTGTAGTGCAGTTATATATTGTTTAGGTGTATATTTCTGAATTCGATTTTGCTGAAGCAAACTCAACTCTCCCAGCGATCTTGAAAGACCGCCGTCATGCAGTTTTCGGCAACTACGAGAAGTTGTACGCGTTTCACTCAGAGTAGGTGATCTACTCCAAACAAGTTTCTTTCTTACTCCGTTTTTCTTTAAAATATTGCTGACGTCGTTATTCCATTATTTTGAAGGAAATTTTTCCACGAACTGTCGAAGTACGAGGACGATCCTGAAGAAGTTGGATGTTCGTTCACCGTATGGGTAGATTATTTGAATGAGCTTTACACAGATTACTGTGTTAATATGGAGCAGAACAACCACATTGTTGCATTACCTGAAGTGACTTCATTTTTCGAGGTTCGCTATTTGCTCATATCGTCCATTTTCATAATGAAGACAAGTCAGATACTGTATATTCTTTGCTTACTCTTTATTTCTTTTCCTTTGTAATTAATTAGTTTTGTTTATCATGATGTTGTAATCCCCTTTTATCAAATGGTTCGCTCAACAAATTTGATGAGAAATATCTGTAGTTAAGTAGTTCTTTTACATTCTATTCTACAATACGTTTACCCACTTCTGATTGTTTGATTGTAAGCTATTGCTCAAGGCGAGATGTGGTTGATTAAAGTTTTTTCAGGCTATACGAGAAAAGCATGGGCTGGAACAAAATAACTCATTGCATTCTATGCGAATTAAACCAGTTCAACGATGTACCAGGTTCTTTGCTTTTTATTATGTTATTATTATTATTACTGCTAAGACATAGCGTATGGTTTTTTGAATCATATTTCCTGTTTCTCATGTGTATTTTAGGCAAATAGACGTTAAACAACTTGTTTAGGTACAAATTGCTCATGGAACAGCTACTGAAACACTGTAATAACGTTGAAGAAATTCGTGTACGTTTCTTATCGTAGCTACTTTTATCGTTATTCTTCCCAATTGTTCTATGTGTATGTACCATCAACTGAGTGTTGGATTCTCCTTAATTGGCAGCATATTTTCGCTCTCTTTCAGGAAGCTTATGATGTAGTAATGAGTCTTCCACGACGTGTGAACGACATTATCCACTTCAATGGACTTGAAAAAGACAAGGTATGGTGCATTTTTGTTTTGTTTCTAAATAGCAGTTGCAAGGTTTTTAATCGAAAAATTGCGTGAAGAGTTAATGGCATTGTGTCTTTATTGCTTTTGTTCGTGTTGTATTATGTTTGCTTCCACACTCTTACTTAAGGATGAACCTTGTTTGTTCTTAGTTATGTTCTAGCATTTCTATAAAACAGAACTTAACTTTGCGCATTTTATATGCACAGTCGAGATATCTCTTTGAAAGGCATTGACTGAGTGCGTTGCATATTCGAGAAAGTGCAGAGTTTGAGTTTATCGCCTGTATAATTCGCAAGCGTAGCATTAAGTTTTTGTTATCCGCAGTGACGTTGTTCATTGCAGTTACTGTGAAACACGACTTTCCGCGATAGACTGATATGATTTCTCTGAACCAACCGAGACAGGCGAAACGAAGGACCCGCATGGTCTGGTGGCGTTGGTTCTCCACCGCAAACACATGCGGTCTGGAGTTTTGCAAATATCTCAGTATTATTGTGGTTGAGTCAAACATAATAACTTGCCGTGGAAAATTGCGATAGGCAGTAACTAAAAAGATAGCATTGTGATACGATTTCAACTAGAACATAGGCTACAATAAAGGAGAAAGCACGTAATGGACGTTGATGAGCATGGTAGAAACGTTTTGGAGCTCTGCTTGTAATTATTCTGACCGCGCTTCTGTACAAAGAGAGGCGAAAGGCTTTTCTCTTATACAATGCTATTTCGCCGCAACCATTTAATGAATAAGCAATTAGTCCATATGTGGTGGCACTCTAGACATAACACGGAATTGTCTTGAAGTGTTAATCACCTATGTTATGGATGGCAGGCCACAAATGTCTTATTTTACTAGACACAAGTTCTGTACAATTATGGGAAATGGAAATGAGTATAAAAGAAGGATCTTCTCCGCAGATTACTAATGATGGCTCATCGTGAAATAAGCTTTTTTTCAGGGATTAGGTTTCTTTTCCCTTATTTGAACATATTCTATAATTCCTCATTTTCTTTCCTTTTTCTTCTAAATAATACGTATTTTATAGCATTTTTGCTTTGCAGCTGGGAGTTGTCGGACCGTTTGTCATGCAAGATCTGCTGACTGTGTGGGAACCTCGCAATTATTTTAACAAGACAAAAGGAAAAGAACGTCAGGTATTCTAGTTCTTCATCGAAGTTTGTGCTTATTTGTTTATTATATGCTTTTTTTTAAGGTTTTTCTATTCGAACAAGCAATTGTTATTGCTAAGAAAATGGAATTCTCAACGAAAAATGTGAAGTACATAATTAAAGGGAAACCGATCCCAGTAAGTATATCGTACAGTACGAGTAAATTAGAGAAATGATTTACGGAATGCAAGAAAACCTCATTCTTCTTCCTTATTTGCTTTCTTCATTCTTAATGACTCAGCTTTTTACTAACACCACTCGAATGTAGCATCATATCTAAGTTTGGAAAACTATGATCTTTTGTAATGCAATAACTTCTTCGCTTTTCTTTGAATTTCCGTTCAAAGTTAACCTGTTTTAGCTCGATGAGCAGCCAACTAATTTCATACTCATGTTTAGCGATTTTGAAGTTTGGTTCCAATTAAGTTTTCCTAATGAATTTTTTTTTTTGAAAAATGCATATATCATTGTGTTGTTAATGAGTGAATTCCTTTTTTTCAGCTAGTGGACGTATCCGTTGTCGAGCATGTGGAAGGAGATGCTTGCCGTTTTGGGCTTCGTGTGAGTTCTTCGTGTTCTTTGCTAGGCTTGAATTCTTGTAGTTTTATTTTGAACACTTTTTTCTCTGAACCTAAAGTGCTTCAGTTTCATTTCGAAATTTCAATTTTCTCTAATTTTAAATTAGCTGTTGATGGAACAACTCGATTGTCTCTTACGCGCCTACTAATTATGTTGTCATCACACCGTCGTGGTTCCTTTTTGGTTAATCACTCCCGATTTGTCATAAAATGATGCACTACAAGGTCATCTTCACTGATAGTTGATCTTGAGTTGATTTTCCAGCCGCTTTTTAGGTAAACTATCGTTGCACCGGAATCAGAATCATCAGCGATTCCATGAGTAGTGTATTTTTTCTGTTTGGTTCGTAATTCTGTTCGTTTCCTGCTTTGTTAAGCGCTGTGCGTTGGTAATTTCCCAGAATATGTCAACAAACAGTAAAAAGGTAATATTTTTGGCTCTGATCAATCTCTGAGGGAGTCGACCTTATTAAGCATTGTTAGCGGTGATTAGTAGCATATATGGGATGTGTTGGGATGGCCTACCGTTGTATCAAGTCAGTACTGCTATCCTTCCGGAGATCTCTGGTGCTGAGTTACTGACCCTGAAGGGAAGATAGGCTTGTTGAGTCCTAAACGCGTGCGTTGGTGGGCCCATCTGACCACCCCATAATACGTCGATAGTTTTTGCAAATATAAAATAGGTATAAGAAATATCCTTTCACACAAATGCATTTCTACTTCCACGAGAAGCAGTTGTGTTATCCGTGAGTCTTCTTTTTTCAGAGGAAAACTCACCATCATTGGTCCGTATTTGTATCTTGACGTTTATTTCTACGTTATTCAACCCTTTTGTACCTTTTTCAAACATCTTAGTTGACAAAATTCGCGTGGAGGAGAATTTAGTGTTTTGGTAGATTGGATAGCAACAGTAATAGTACCGTTGTTATCGGGGCACCGGGATATTTACTGTGTAGTTTGGTGTTTTCTATTGGTCGTTCTCCATTTACAACTCTTCAGGTAAATGTGAATGTGATTATAAGAATTTCCCCTGTTACCTCGTTTTGTGTGCAGGAAAACAGCATGCTTAATCTACTAGTTACGGATTCATTCCTTTAGCAGGTTATCTGTTTAAGAAGCAAAATGTGTAAGTGAAGGAAGCCAGCTCACGGATGATGACAGAGGTGTTATCCGGTTTTGCAGTTATGGAATGAAACGCGGTTGTAAGATGATTAATTGACAGAATGAAAATTAGAAATCTAATTTTCAAAACTGGAAATTTTTAGTAATACTTTCATAGAAAGTGCTGAAATTTTATACTTCTATTCGCACATTTTAAAATAACATGCGGTTGTATGAAGGATTATTGAAACTGTGACGTTTCACGGTAGAATTTTGCTTCGTTATTCCAGTTTCTTGGTTATCTGGTGTTTTTCCCAATACACTTAGTTAGCATTTTGCGCTGTTGTTTCAGTTACTTGTTTAGCTGATAGCTCTCCTGAAACTTAGTTTCCTCTTTTCTGCAACCAAATGGTTGAACTTGAATCGTTCGGCGGGATTGAGAAGCGTGAAATGATTCTCAGTTGCGGAAACGACTTTCAGTTTGTCTATTAAACGAAAATCATAATCTCCATAGTATTTCGGATTTGCCATCTTTGTCCAGAAGTCGGTTCACTCCGCACAGATAGAATATTTTGATCACTGCGCAAAAATTATTTTACCATGCCTCACTTGAACTACAGAATTTGTGTGAGTGAATACATGAGGTTAATTCGTCGATGAGTGTCGTCTGAGCTCTCATGATGCTAGCAGACTGGTTCAGAGTTTTCATTAACACCAAAAAATCCAAAGAAGAGGTATTTTTACTTTGAACGGTTTTTTTTAGATTGGAACAGTTGCAAGTAATGAAAATCGCATTGATTTACGAAGTGCACCTCAACCTAAGGAAGAAGTGAAGATCATGTGGGTGAAGCGCATTCGTGAACTAACCCAGGCACTGCTACCACTTAGTATGTTCTGGACTTCTTCGTTCTCTTTTTTTTTTTCTTGTTTTACCTCTCTAGCATTTGTTTCTTTTTCTTCCAATTTCTCTGGTGTTTTCATTCTTTAAGCAATGGAATTTAATGCGAGTTTTAAGCCCTATTTTTTTTCTGCTTTGTTACACATTTTATTGTATCAAATCGGAGTGTTTTTTTTACTACAGATCTGGGAGTCGGCTTGGAAAATGTTTCATCTTCTAGTAACTCTTTAACGGCAGAGTCTGTTTCAACTCGATCATCTAACGCATCAACTAATTCGACAGAGTACCCATCTCACGATGGTGACGAGTCATCCATTGATTCTCAACGACTCTCCATTCAAAGTGCGGATAGCAACCAGGTATATTCATTGGTAGCACAAGGAACGCATATTTAGTAAGCTATAATTTTGAAGTTTGGAATTTGAAATGGAGAAGCATTGAAATGAAATACAGCATAGAACTATGCATTTTATTATCCTATGTCGACAACATACGGGTGGTCTCAGTCCTAGGAAACCGAAAACGGCTCTGAAGAAGGCCAAAACATTAGTCGCTGAAAATCAAAAATGTGTGTTAACAGCCTCGTGTCGCTTTATCAAGGACAGTTCGTAAGAATAAAATTATTCGACTGCTGAATTTTCATTGATTTTAAAGTCTAGTTTCAAGTATTCTCGGTTTTTCCACAGTCTCTTACAACTTTCTCAGTTCCTGTCGGAAAACAGAGTGAAAAACAAAGCGTTGTTTCACTGCTCCATTTTTTGCTTTTGCTTCATTTTTTTACTTGTTCCCAGATTTTCTTCATTAATATGCTAAAACAAAGGGGCGGATAGCACAGTGGTAGTGATTTCGGTTATCGCGATGCTACTTGGATTCCACTCCGAGCCATCCAAGCCACTCATCGTTTCGGGGTCGGAAAATTGGTACCGGACTTGTCCGGGAAAAAAGTCACGCTCTGAAATCCAATTGTGAGCGCTCCAGACCGGCTATCTCAGGACTCTAAGAGGAGTCGACTCGACCAGCACTGTACCACATTTAAGATTAAATGAAAAATTCCTCAAGCAGCAGCCAAAGCTACACGTGAAAGTTTGAAGATTTTCGTGGACGATGGATGCGAGGAAAGGAATCGAATGTGAGAAGTACTGGGATCCGCACAATAGCCGTAAAGATGGGTCACATAAAATGAACAGATAAATTTTTTCATAAAATAAAAAATATACTAAACTGAGAAATTGTGAAAACTTAAATTGGTGATTAATTTATTGTTTATTATTAAGTTTGCTTTATTATGTAGTCATCGTGCTTGTTGATCATTTTAGTCCAACGTTCACTAACTTGTTGCATAATTTTCACTAAAACTGCGATATTTGGAGGGCCAGTTGATTGATTCGGTGACTGAAGTTTGCGAAATGCTTGTTTTGAGCGGATTTTTTTATACCTCAAGAAATGTGAAAATCACACATCAGATGACCACTGCTTTCCGAAAATATAGAAGCGACTCCGAGGCGAATATCTCCAGCTGCTATCACGTAATGACTTGTGGAGTGCTTTCGTAAATGAGAGTAATTCTACTTTCTCTCGGTTACATCTTTTCCATCTTCTCGGTAAAGTAGGCAGTGCCGTTTACACGCTGGTCTTTTAGCGGCAACACTCAGTATATCATGTGGTGCAGTTCCACCAGTCGCATAGAAAAATCTAGCTCACGTGGGCGTTCCGTTTCGCTTTAGTTGACGCTTGTTCTGCTACAGTTGGATCCAGAAGAATCTATGTATGTTGATGTGTTAAAGCATCTACGTCTAACCAGTGCTGATCTGGTTCTTCAAGCTTTTAGTTTTTTCTCGAATATAGTTACAATATCTGACGGACATCCAAGTAGGTTAGTTCACATTGTCTTAAATGCAGACACTTAACCATTGCTGTGATAGCCATGCGCTTGTATGTCCTTTTTGGTGGTTGAGTAGCGATAACCGCAAGTCTGCTCAAATTCTCTCATAGTCATGTCTAATGCTTGATTGATGTCGTAGTTCATCGTCCTCAATAGAGCTCTCATAGATAGGGGAATTAATAAACTGATTTATGAGACACTGTGTACAAAACATAAAGGAAAAATTTTAACACTTCTCGAGAAGGTATCGTTGTTGACATTGACAAGGAGTGTAATCTTATCGAACTCTGTCACCAGATATATAATGCTGAGATATTCGCAAAACTCCGGACCGCAGGTGTATGCGGTGGGGAACGAACGCGCGCTATTGTTTTTACCGGGGAGTAGCGCACTTCGCCACCACACCATCCGGGTCCTTTGTTTTGCCTATCTCTCAGCTATTTCTATTGACAGGCACAACGAAGGACCCGGATGGTGTGGTGGTGAAGCGCGCTACTCCCCGGTAAAAACAATAGCGCGCGTTCGTTCCCCACCGCATACACCTGCGGTCCAGAGTTTGCAAATATCTCAGCATTATCTACAAGTTATATTTCGCAACATACCCTGCCATTGAAAAGAAAAAGGTAGTAAATAAAAGGGTTAAGTCTGTCACCAGACTTGGAAATCCAAGAGCAATAAGGTCATCATGAAACCTTTTTAATCCGTAACGCAAGTCGCTGACCATGAACCGCGTGAGTGACAATAATAGACGGCCAGTTCTGTAACCAATATAACCTGTTGACATTAGGTTTTTGAGCATCTTTCAGGAGGCTAAGGTCATCATCAATTTCCATTTCGATCTTTTCACCAGACGCTTTCACTTGTCTTAATTTCACATGTGGGAGATTGAATGTTTCCCTTCAACGCTGCTAATCTACAACTACTTCCGAAAGGCTGCATTGGATTCTGACCACCTTTTCACTCAACTTCTCACACGTTCCATGCCGAAATTCTGCGTAGTATTGGCAGTTATAGAGAAGTACTATTTCTTGTTCCGATCGTTTATAATCTGTTATCTCATGTTATTTTAAGCAGAATCACCAACTTAACTTTATAACAAGGCTCATGGAAGGGACACAGGAGACGACACGCGGTTGTTATTTCAGTTTCATTGACTTGACTTCAAGGAGCACTTCGATATTCTTAAGACAAAAGGAGTCATGCAAGCATTGAATGTTCAGGGCAGCCACACATAATACGTCACCTGTATCACCTGTAGTCCCATTGATCGTCGAGTGACTCGAGCGGGCGCCAGCAAATCTTCCATTTCTCCCTGTCGCGCGCAAGAGTAGCCCAGTAGGTTCTGGTCGCTCTAGGGACTCGTCGAGCATCACATCTTTCTTCTAGGCTCTTCGTGAAGAACTCCGACAATTGGGTCGGTGGTCTTCCTGCAGTACGTTTGACATCTCGAGGAATCCAGTCACTAACGGCTCTTGTCCATCGGTTGTCATTCATACGCATTACGTGTCCGGTCCATCTTATCTTTGACTGTTTGGCGAACGGAACGGCATCTTCGATTTTTGATCGTTGACGTACGTCGGAGCTTCGGATCACATCCCTTACTTGTGTGGAATGGGGTACTTCTTTTGACTGAGCGTTCGATAACGCTGAGTGATCCTTCATCCTGCTTACGCAGCGACCAAGTTTCTGACGGATACGTTAGAGCAGGAAGTACCGTTGAGTCGAAAAGGTGAGCACGGAGTCGTGTGTTCTTTGTTCTCTTCACTACATCCTCGATGCTCTTGAGAGCTCCTCAAGCCGCTCGTTTTCTTCTGCTCAGCTCTGGAGCTAAGTCGTTCATCATATTGATTTCCCGACCTAGATAGGCATAAGTGGAGCATTCGGAGATATTCGTTCCGTTGAGCGTGAATGGAGCATACGAAACAAATTCGTTCCTAATGACTATCGTTTTTGTGAGATTTAGTCGATGACCAATCTCTCCACGTGCTCTATCAAAGTCGGCAAGCATACGTTCCGCTTGGCTAATGTTTGGTGTTATAAGGACGATGTGATCAGCAACGCGAAGATGTAACTGTCGACCGTCAATTTTCACTCCCATATTATCCCATTCCAATGTTCGCATGACGTTCTGGAGGGTGGTTGTCAATAATTTTGGCGAGATGGTATCGCCTCGCCTAACTCCTCTTTTGACGTCAATGTTAATGTCGTTGCAGAATGGTGATATCTTGGTTGTGAAATTTTTGTACAGCTCACGAAGAATCTTTATGTACTGAGTAGAGGCTGCTTGACTCTCAAGGGCTTCCATAACTGCTTCTATCTCAATTGAATCAAAGGTCTTCTGCAAATCGATGAAAGTGAGACAGAACCGTCTTTTGTACTCTCGCGATACTTCAGTGAATCTTGTTATCATGTGGAAATGCTCCATCGTAATAAATCCTTTTGGAAACCCTGTTTGCTCACATGGCTGTCCATCGTCCAATGTTCTGTCAGCCCTGTTTATGATGACTCTAGTGAAAAGTTTGTAGACGACAGACAACAAGCAGATTGGGCGATAGTTGCCGATATTGTGTAGGTCACCCTTCTTGAACGATAACACGGTCTTTTTGGTCTTTCACTGAGTAGGGACCTTGCATTCAGACAGGTAACGTGTGAAGAGCCGGGCCAGTGTGCTTACAAGAACTGGTGGAGGGTTCTTCAGGTGTTCTGATCTTATCCTGTCCAGACCTCGTGCTATTCGATTTTTCACCAACGAAATGGCATGTCGGATTTCGGAAGGGAGAACTGGTGGTACATGTCCGTCCTCCTTTATCTCATGTGACGAAAGGTGGATATGGCTACGGAAGAGATCTGAGCAGTATTCTTGATTGATTTCCTCACTGCCATTCTGGACGCTGTAACTGTTCCGTCTAGGCGTCGGAGAGCAATCATTTTGGTCTTGTAATTGGCGAAGCTTCGGTGGGCTTTGCGAATGCTTTTCCCAGTCTCTGCAGCTTCGACCATTACTGCTGCCCTTTTCTCTTTAAGATCTTCTTTTATGTCTGCATTGTTTTGCAAGTTCGGACATTAGTTCGCGGTTGTCTGCAGTTCGTGCGGTTGTACGCTGGCGTATCAGCTCGAGTGTTTCTGGAGACAGATGTCTCTTGGTGACTTTCGAACTCTGAACTTTCATAGCGCTAATGTGAAGATGTTGAATGAGCCGATCGTGTTCTTCGTCGATATTATCGACAATGGCATCTTCCTAACAGCCGACGAATGAATTGAAGAAGTCCCAGTTTTCGGTGGTTCTAGGACTTCGGTTCTGAATTTAGCGGCTTCTTTTCCATTCCGCTAAAAATAGAATCTTGCAGGAAGGAGGCGATGATCTGATCCCGTGTAGAATTTTGGGACAACAGCGAAATTGGTTAGGCAAAGCCTTCTATTTACTATGATATGGTCTATTTCGTTATGGTGCTCTCCATTGGGGACTCCCACATCCAGCGATGAGTTTGAGGCTTCTGGAATTGCGAGTTACCA